ACCAGGAACCTGTACTCCCCTTTCCCACCCAGGGGTGGGGAAGAGCCACTCTCTTAGGTCAACCTACACATCCCTCAAATCCCTCTGGACTTAATGTGCTCCCCTCAAAAGGCTCCATACTGATCCCCAATCTTTCCTGGTGTCTCCTCAAAGTCCTGCCTGCTCTCTGCCCCAGCTTGAGTCCCTAAGTGCCTTCCTCCCACCCCATGGGAACACAGCTCCCTGCACCCCTTCAGCCTCCCTAACTAGATGAAGCACAGGCTGGCACCAGACCTGTCCTCGTGCTTCCTGCCATGGAGGGTCCTATCTCAAGTCTCAGGCTCACAGGACTCAAAGCTGGGGAGCTCCTGGGGCTCCTCTTGACCTCATTTTGCAGAGGAGGAGACTGAGGGGTGGGGAAGGCAAGATACCAGCCCCAGGTCCCATAGCTTGTCATGGCCAGGCTGAGACCAGACCCAAGAAAGGCTGGCCTCCACTTCAAGTCCCCAAACTGCCAGGTGGGGTTTCCCAGGACTGACCAAGCACAAGCTGGTCCCGTGGCAGTTCCCAGGTGGAATCGTAGGGCAGCTGCATGGGGTCCACATAGATGTACTCATGGCCATCAGAGCTCACAGACTCAATCACCTTCCATCGAATCTCATAGCGTGGCTTCTGCAGGACCAGGACCACCGCATCAGACAGGCTCTCTGCACTTGAACTCACTAGGTTCAGACTCAGAGGGCCAAGGAGGCAGTGGGCCCTGAGGCCCAAGAGGGGCAGGGCCAAACTAAGTGGCACAGCAAGTCAAGGCCTTCATGGCTCAGGGATAGGTACCCAGGGGCTCCAGTGGGAGGAGGGGGTGGCAGAGGAGCCATCGGGCTGTGACAGGCTGAGGAGCAGCTGACAGCCAGGGGCCTGGCTCATCAGAACAACCTCAGCTGCCTCTCTTGGAGCCTCTGTGGCTTCTCAGGTGGGAGTGGAGGAGAAGGCAGCCTGGACATGGTCCCTCCCCACATGAAGTCATCCCTGAGGGAATCGCAGAAGGATGGAACTTTTGAATGTTGAAATTTAGTGTGCCAAATTCATAGGATTGAACTCAGAATGATAGAATCCAGGGGGACAGTAATCCTAATTTGGGAATCTTAACATTTTGGAATTATAAAGTGGTTAAATCTCAGGACATAACATTGCAATTATAGACTAGTTGAGAGGATCTGAATGCATCCATAAGAGTCTCCATGGGTGACAGGGACAAGCAGGACATGAGGTTAGAGCAGAGCAAGACCAGGGGATCCTGGATAGCTTGGATCAGGCCTGCGAGCCCAGGCTGCTGGGGGTGGAGGCAGCTCAGAGACCCTGAGCTCCATGCTGGGCCCACCTATGGCCAGATCCTGCAGCAGGGGTGGAGACATGCAAACCCAAGGTACCAACCCCTACCCCCTAGGTCAGAATGGGACTCACCTTCTGCCAGAGCATGATGAGGATGATGAGGGAGATGATTGTGAGAACCACCAAGGCCAGGATGGCTGAGATCACCACCACCTTGAAGGGGAGGGCTGGGGACGGAGACCAGAGCAGGCCATGAGCAAGGAGGGAACTGGGTAGCTGCTCTCCCCTCTCCCACTGCCACCATCAAAATCCTTTCCTACCCATTGTGCCCAGACAGAAGGCCCCACGTCCTCGATGGCCTATGGTGTCAGACCCTCAGCCTCTTGCTCTAGGCCACATCTTCAACCTCTCTTATGAACCTCCACCCCCTCAGTCACCATCCCTAGTGTCTTCAGCCCAGTCAGAGTCAGTATTGCATTTCTGCCCCAGCTCTAGGCCGAGTGAAAACCCTTTTCTGGGTTCCTGTCCATTGCCTGGCTCTCCCATGAGACCAGGAGCTCCCGAGGGCCATGCCTGTGTTGGGCTGTCACAGCAGATCAGAAATCTAAGTTCCATGCCTGACCAAGTGGCCAACGGACACCATGACCTGCCACTGAGGGAGTCACAGGCTGAGCCACCATGGCCAGATAAATTCAGACTCAGCAAGGAGCCTGCTCCCCCCCTAACCAACCACCCTTTTCCACCCCAGAGCCCATCTAGGAGTGGACAATGATGGCAGTTAATAGGGCTAGCAAAGCCCCGTGGTGCCTGTGCCTACTCTAACCCAAGACCTCAGCCTCTTCCCTCCTGGGCCATCCCATCCAGACCTTCATCTCCCCTGTCCTGCCCCACTGACTACCCAAGTGTCCTTTGGGAATTTGGTTCTTCTCCTCTGTCCCCTTCCTGCCCTTCTCTCATCCCCAGGGAGCCCAGTCCTTCCTCATATCCTCCTCAGGGTCACAGACCCACACCTCTCTTCTGCTCCCTCTCTCCAACAGTCTCACATATCCAGGGCCTGGGAAAAAAGCATGCATCCTCTAGGGAGTCCTCTGAGTAAAGAGGAGCTGCCATACAGCCATCTCAGTCCCCGGAGTTAGTATGCGTGACATCTGCCTCTGCAGGTGTACTTCTGCCTTCACTCAGAGCTGATGTGCAGGTCAGGATGTCCACACTGTCTACCCAGGTGCCCATCTGCTCAGGCACATGTGTGTGCACGCACAGGAGGGTTGATGAGATAGGATATTTTTAAAAACCCACCCACACTCACAGGGCAGGTACAGGAGGCTGGTGTGCTCAAAAGACACGCACACATACCAGACCACTAAGCCTGCCTCAGCGCACAAGTGTGCACCAAGCCTTATGTGCATCTCAGACCCGTGCTTGCTCTGGAGTCTGCCTACCCTAATAGCTCCACTCCTTCCCACTTCCTTCCTCTTTTTCTCCCCACCCCATACCCCAAAATTCACATGCACTCCCTGCTCCAGGCAGCCTGAATTCCTTTACTTTCTTAGAACCTGCCCTGCCTAAGGCTCTTGCCCAGTCCCCTCCTTCTGACTGGAACACTCTGCTCACCAGGCTAACTTAAAGTCATCCCTCAAGTTTGACCCAAAGGACTTTTTCCCAGGATATTTCCTCAGTCCTACAGCTGGCCTCTTCGCCCTCCAGGCTTTCTCCCCAGGGTGGTGATCCTAAGATTGCTTATTCCCACCATCTTGTCCCCTGATCTAAGGCACTAGGAGGACATCAAAGCTGATCCTCTGACCTCAAGAAGTTGGGTCCTCATAACTATTTATTGAAGAAGAAAGGTGAATGAATGAAGTGCATTCATACAAGGGCATACATACACAAGAATGGGCAGCTAGACATGCAAAAACATCTGTGCACTGCTAGGACCGTTCACATGTGCAAGATTTGTGCATGTAGGTGTCCCTTCTAAGATATATGCACTGTACAGCAGGCATATGTGTTCAGGTATTGTGCTCACACATTTTTCCAGAAAGGTGTGCTGCAATGACATGCTTACAGACACGCACTATGACACTTGACACATATGCACAGGAATTGCACATGTATTTGTACCCATGTATGGGGTTTTATACACAAGCCTGGGAACTGGGCGTGCTGTACATGGCTTATATACATATATTCTGTGGGTTTACACACAGAGACAAGCTTCATGCATGCTTGAACACATGCTTACAGACATATACTCTAGCTTTATTCGTGTATCTGGGCTTAGGCATTCTTCAGCACAAAGTTTACAAGTATACACATAGAGAGTTTGCACCTGTGTCCTGGGATCAGGCCTGCTCATGGTCAGGGCTTCCAACATGCAGTTTACATTCTCTCTGTAGAAGCAGACTGTGCTGCTCAAACCATGGTTTCTACACTCGTGTTTGTACACATGTGCCCATTATGTATTGTGTATGGTGCAAAGAAACATATTCTGATGCATTTCACATAGCTACCATGTACCTAGGAGTATGCTGACTTGGCCTGTTGAGGGGGCATGGGCTCAGTCCCCAAGTATGGCAGGGTCAAGGTGGGGGTGAGCTGGGGAGACTCACAATGCGGCACCACGGTAACCTCCTGCACATCCTGGCCCAGTGGGTTGTGCAGCATGCAGCGCACCGACAGTGGCTGATCCACGTGGCGCAGGCGCAGCGTGCTCACCACCTCATATTCCTGCTCCTCCGCCCAGTATGTCACATTAGTCTCCAACTGGCTTTCCTCCTCGGAACTGTTCCCCAGCGGTGTGGGCGGCAGCTCGCGTGGACACCTATCCAAAGAGACCAGGATCGACTTGCAGCCTCACCTTTCTGCAGAGGTGGAGACAGGCCAAAAGCAGACAGCACCGCATAGTGGAGAAGTGCATGTCCAGTTCCTGTGACCAGCTGCCTGGTCCTAAGCGGGTTCCTCCAGTGATTCTCTAAACTGATCAGTAGGTGGCGCCTCCGTTCCAGAATTGAGATCCCTGGATTGCAAAATCCACTCCTCATTTTGACCACCAAACAAACACAGTGTGTTGAGATAGAATCAGAACCTCAACTCAACCCTGCCTCTAGCCACTGAACCACCATGAGCCCTAGTCAGAGGAACAGAACATCTACTGGGTAGATAAGGTCTTTCTGGGCACAGCCCTCCACTGTACTGAGCAGAGGATAGCCCAGGTGTCAAGGTAAAAAAGAGACAATTTAGATCATGCAGAGCATCTCCAAGGAGGTGATGGAATGGTCTTCTAGGGTGTGGCTCTAGTCTGGAGCAATGTGAAAGAGGAAAGGGCAGACTAGTGAGTTCCACTGGGTCCTTCTAGCCTGCTGGGGTACCCTAGAACACTAAGGTCCAGGATCTGCTCACCTTTTGAGGTCTCTGCAGGTAGACCAGGTGATATTTGGCTGGGGCATGCCTCGGCCACGACAGCGGACTGTCTGCTCCCCATTGGCAGGGTGACTCTCGCTCAGCTCCAGCACACGGACAGGGACTGCATGGGGGAAGGTCCAGGATCAGGAGAAAGGTGGGAGGTGAAAATAGACCTCAGGGAGACCTGGCCCAGAGCCTCCATCAGGGGGAGGGCTGCAGCCCTCAGGTGAACACTAAATACCAGGAATCCCTTGGGGGAAGCTGATGGATCTCCCTCTGGGCTACTTCAAAGGGAAAGTCTCAGTAGGGGGCTAGTCTGTCCTTAACACCTCTCTGAGACTTGCTCACCTTCATTTTAACAAAGAGAGAACAGGCCTCAAGCTCAGAGCCCTGGGCAGCCCAATACATGAAACTGGATTGAATAACATTTGTCTTGTTTTCTTGGAGTTGATTTTAGTGGTTGCCTGATATTTATGACATGTGATGCTGATTTTCCATCTACAATTGAGAGGTTCAATTTTGCCTTTCAAAATATGTTTATTTTTAGAAAGCTAATTGACAAAACATGAAGTCATTCCCATGGCATTCCTACACTCAAGTCCCTGCAATGACTTTTCATTTAGGTCACAGTAAGAGTCAAAGTTGTACCAGACCCACAGGCACCTACACATCTGCCCTCTCCTCGCCCCTACCCTATCTCTGCTCTGACCTCATCCCCTGCCACTCTTCCTCTCTCCCTCTTCTGGCCACAGGACTTTCTGGCATTGTTCTGGCCCTTGCACTGCCAGGGGTGCCATCTTCCCAAATATCCACTTGGCTAATGCCCTCGTCTTCTTCAAGTCTTCACACAAATGTCACTTCCTCAATCCAGCCAAAGCAAATAAGGTCAATACTGATTACAATATTTAAAAGTGTACCTCACCAGCCCCCTGTGCACTGCTCTCTCAATCTTCCCTACCCTTCTTTTTTTCCCTTTCCAATAGCGCCTATTACCTTCTCATCTGTGTTATTTGCTGGGATTTCATGTCCTTCTGTTACATGTTTGTCTTCCCCCAAAGGCAAGGCCTTAAGAACTTCCAATAGAGAAGTATATTGTAATTGCTTAATAAATATCTACTGGATTAGTAAGTATCATATAAATGGACTATGAGAAGGAAAAATCATGCCACTGGGACATGAATGCCCAAGGTTTTGGAAAACACCAGTCTAGCCTGATGGCCTCCCTTTACAGTTGGGGAAAATGAGGTCCAAAGAAGGGACACAGCAGGTCAATGGTCATGAACTCAGCTTCCTTAGTTCCAGATCCCTCTCCAGCCCCTCCTATGGGTGGGAGGACAGTACAGGAAGAGGAAGTGGGGACAGGGAAGAAGGGAAGAGGGGACTGAGGTGGCCCTCACCATTGACCTGCAGCTTGAAGGAAAGCTGGGCCTCAGCATCCTCATGGAAGGCCCGCATGGTATAGTAGCCAGCTTCTGCCACCTTCACTCGCACCAGTGTCAGTTCCGATACATACCTAGGAAATCATACAGGCCAGGAAACCCACTCACTGTCAGAGCTGGAAGAACTCCCCCACCTCCCACCTTCTTTATACAGACAGGGAAAACAAAGCCCAGGGAGGAGAGGGACTTGCCAAGATCACACAGTGAGAGCCAGGACTCAAACCTAGTCTCCTGAGTCCCCAGTTATAAGCAGTTCCACTAAACCAAGAAGGGGACAGAAGGATTGGGAGGTCGGGCGGGGGGGGGGGGGGGGGGGGGGGGGGTGATTCCCCCCCCTCCACAGGAGGGACCTAACATGTTTTATTCTAATTTATCGTTTCTCTGTTAATCTCCAGCCTTGGGGACATCACAGGTGGCAGTGAGTGGCCCTCCTGGCACTGTCTTCCCGGTAATCCTGTTTCTGTTTCCCCCGCTGACTCAGAGACCCTGGGTATGCTGAAATTCTGCCCCGGTCCCTGCAGTATCCCAGTGTCTGGCACCAATCCTGGCATGCAGTAGACTCTCCGGAAAGGTGGACCTAGGTTTGTCGTGGGTCTGTGGGCTGCTTGGTAGCTGCAAAACTTCAAAAAATGGAGTGGGTAGCAGCTGCTCACCGGGTCTCAGACACATTGCGCGTGGACAGGGCGATCTCGCCGGCGCTGGAATCGCCCAGGGTGCGGTTGTCCTTGAACCACAGCACAGTAGGTGGCGGGTAGGCTTCGAACACCACTTGTAGTGTCCGACTCCTGTGCAGCTCAGCAATTTGTATAGCGCCCAGGTCTCCCAGAAGCCGCACGTAGCCGCTCTCTGCAAGGTACAGCTGTCAGGGGCCGACCCTGGGGGCGGGGCTATTCCCAGGCACCAATGGGGTTGCACGTCCCAGGGGCGGAGCTCCTGGAGGCGGGGCATCAGCTGAACTGTAAAGGAACCTAGACTTCTGGGGCAGAGGCTTCAGGCTTTAGGAAGTCATTCAATGAAGGACTAGGGTTGAAGTTGGGGCTGGGGACGAATTTGGCTCTGATATTAGTGTTGGAGCCAGTTTTGAGGTTGAGACTGCAGTTGTAGTTCTCTTGTTCGGTTTGGTTTTGTAACTGAGGTACATTGGAGTCTCAAACCAGGGCCAAGGTTGAATTTGCAGATGGGCCTGCCCAGGCCTGTGATGCGTTTGGGATTAGAGATCAGATTGAGGCTAGGGTTCTGGCTAAGCAGAAAGTCTACTTTTAGATTAGGGTTGAATCAAGCTGACACTGCACTTTGGTTTGGATTTAACCCCAGAATTGGGGCTTTGACTGGCACAGAGTCTAGTGCTGAACTGGAAAATGGTTGATTGTACCCTAGGGCTGTGCCAGGCTCTGGGTCCAGTTCAGACAGAGGTTAGGAACTGATTCCAAGGCACCCACCGACCACAGTGACATTGATGGCCTTTTCATCTCGATGGTCATTCACACTCTCTGACACATTGCAGATGTAGGTCCCTGAGTCATCCAGCTCAGCATTGGGGATGTGCAGGATGGAGCGAATGTGGGAGGGCACATCAAAGAGGAAATCTGTCACTGGCTCTACGAGGCGCCCACTCTGCAGGAACAAGTGGGGCAGGTTCTCTAAATAAGCAGGGGTCCATGAGAAGTCAGTCTGCAGGCTGAGCTATCCATCCTTGCCTGGTCCCTCCCCCAACCGAGGCCCAGCATTACCTCCATGCGGGGGTAGGTCCACTCAAAATTGACCACCTCATTCCCCGTCACAATGCACATGATGGTAATGTTCTCACCCTGGCGAACCACAGTCTGCACTGCATTCACTGAGACATTGATGGAGGAAACTGGAGGAAAGAGGGGGGCTTAGGGCTGGGGAAATCACACCAGCCACCAGTACTTCAACTTGGGCATGGGGTAGGGGTGTACAGAGTGAAGCATTGACTGATGGAAAATTCATCCATTCAAAAAAATATTTATTGAATGCCTACTATATGCCAAATATTTATTTTAGGCACTGGGGCTACAACAATGAATACAACAGACAAAACCTTTGTCCTTGTGGCGCTTACACTCTAGAAGGGGTAACAGTCTAGAAATTAAAGTATCCTCTGGTGATCTAAGTAGAGGAGAAATTTACTGAACACTCCTATTGTGCCCTGTAACTTCTATTTTTTGTTTTATTTAACTTTCACAATAATCCCATAATGTGGGCAGTAATTATCACCCTCTTTTACGAAGGAAGAAGCAGATTCAAAGGGATTATGGGCCTTGTGCAAAGTCATTCAGATGGGAAGTGGCTGAGCTTGGATTCCAACTCAGTTGGCTCCAAAGCCTGTGCCTTTGCCCATCTGATTACACAGCCCAGCGTGCCACTGATGTGTCCCCTGACTGTGGGAAAACTTCATCCTCAATAGGAGCCTCAGTTTCTTCATCTGTAAAATAGGAGAAACACTACCTCCCTTCAAAGGTTATAGTGAAAACAAATGAAAAATAGTTATATACTTTGCAAACTGTAAAGGGCTATTCCTCTGTGAAGGGTTATACTTGCCTCTGCTGACAATCAAGCCAAAAAGGGGACTCACCCTGGAGGCTGTAGACGTAATAGGCATCAGAATCCACTTCCCTCTCCCCAATGGTGGTTCGGCAGATGTAGGTCTTGTCCTCAAAGGTACCAGAGAAGCCTCGTTGGTGGTCATAAGGGATAGGCAGCGGGATGTCCTCTTTCTTCTCATGCAGTGTCACCACTAGCTGGGGGTCTGTCACTCGGCATGGAATTGTGGTCTCAGTTATTTCCGTGAGAAAGATGAATAGGTCCTCCGGCTCCATAGGGAGGAAGCCCATGGTGGGATCTACAAGGAGTGGAGCCAAGAATGAGTGAGGGTCAGGGGACCTGGGTGTCTGGCGATCCCATGAATTGCTGTATGACTTTGAGTAAATCTCTTCCACTCTTTGGCCCTCAGTTTCCCCAATACAGGAGAAGGATGGCACTATGGTTTAAATGTTGGTCTGCTCCAAAATTCATTGAAATTCCATTGCCATTTTAACCCCAAGAGGGCTAAATGGTTGAGGTTGATGCCACTAAAAAAGGGTAAGTTTGCCAGCCATGGTGGCACATGCCTGTAATCCAGTGACTTGGGAGGTGAGGCAGGTGGATTGAAAGTTCGAGGCCAATCTCAATAATTTAGCAAGACCCTCAGCAACTTGGCGAGACCCTGTCTCAAAATAAAAAAAAAAAAGGGCTGGGAATGTGTCTCAATGGTTAAGCATCCCTGGGTTCAATCCCTCATACCAAATAAAAGGTAGGGGGGCAAGTTCAGTGCCCTCTGGCTCTCTCTTGCCCTTCTGCATTTTTTGATGAGATTATATAAAAGAAGTCCTTGCCAGATGCTGATTCCCTTAATATTGAATTTCCCAGCTTCCAAAATTGTTAGCCAGTACATTTATGTTCATTATAAATTACCCAATCTCAGGTACTATTTTACAGCAGCAAAAACATAGTAGGCATAAGAGACAGATGCTCAGAGGCCATTCCAGCTCTAACATTTGATATTGACAGTACCAGAGTAAGAAAGCAGACAACCCACAAGTTGAAGTATGGCTGGTACCTGGAGCTTGGAGAACAGGGAAGATGAGACATGGGGGCCAAGGGGGAACAGACAGCAACCAGCTAAGAATACAAAGTTCTTGGGAGGCAGTAATGGGGTTGGCTGGCAAGGAGCAGACTGATATTCAGACCAATGTGTGGAAATGAACACCCTGCTGAACTAGAGTTCATGATTCGGCTGCATTTCTAGAATGGCTGCATTTCATGGTGCCAATCAAGCAATCTCTTGAACTTCCCCTGATACCTTCAGTAAGTGAGTGGCCATGCAGGTGGGAACCCTTACCTGGCACAAAGATGTAGAGCCGCTTCCGCTCACTGGGCTCCCGCCCAAGGGAGCTGTTGTAGGTACAAAAGTACTCTCCTGTGTCACCTCCAGTGACATTGGCCAGGGTTAGCATGCTGGAGAAGGTGCCCTCCTGGGTCCTGGACACTTTCTGCTGAGGCACCTGAGACAGCCGTTCCCACACCACTGGAGCTGAACCCAGGCAGGTCAGAACAAAGGTACTGGAGAGATTAAGTACAAGCTCTGGCCCTGGGGGCATGATGGTCAGGCTCTGGGAGGTCTGTGGACCTAGCAGCAATAGCATGGGCAGCAACAGCAACCGGCCTGGAGAGAAGACATCAGATGTCAAGGCACAGGGGCCTCAGCAAGCCCCCTTGGGCTGCCCAGGGGCATGTGTGCACAGCCCCCAAGTCCATGAAGAACACATCTCCATTTCCAACACAGACTGGAACCCTCTGCCCATGGTTCTAGAGCCTGCTCACCCAACGCTAGGCCCCCAGGTACTCCTGGCCTTTGTCTCAGTCCCTTTAAACCCAGCCTCTGAGTTCTCCAGCAGTACTACATTCAGGCAGTGGGCAGGGAAGGAGTCAGGAAATCCTTGGGAAGCAATTCCCAGGCCTCCAGTTCCTGCATTGCTTCCCAGGTCACTTTCTGGGCCTCTTCCCCCTGCTGCCCTCAGCTACCTAGGTTCCCATGAAGCCCAGAGGTGGCCCTGCTTGGAAGAAGGTGAGCAGGAGGTACTCAGGTAAATTAGAGTGAAGTTGGGGGCTGCGAAGGGCTGGGATGGGGGGGGGGGGTGTGCCTGTGTCCAGCAATTGGTTCTCCCACCCCCACCCTTGCCCCATGACATCTTCTAGGGAAGGATTTTGTAAGCCACACTCCCATGCTTCCTGGGGATGAAAATCCAGAGGGGGCCCAGATAGGTGGGCAGTCAGGCAGCCAGTCCCTCTAACAGTCACGGGACCCACCCCTGGAGAGCTGAAGGCACATATCCAGCCAGACTGAGGAGAAATGGGAAGCCAGGGTGACTGCTAAAGGGTGAGGGGTGTATGGAGGGCTAAGGAAAGAATCTGATGTGATCATTTTGGACAGAAGGGGTTCACTGAAGGTCTCGGAGCTGCGGGTGGGTGGCTGAGGAGGCATCCACACAGACCTCAGGAAATGTAGGAAATCCAGCTCAAGAGCACTGCAGTTTTTCTGGACTCGTGTCCTTATGCTAGCACACAGCCTCCCAAGGTAGGGCCTTTCTGGGACCCCTGCCCCTGCCCCAGCCTACTTACCTCTGAGGACCAGAGCTGGCGTCACACCTGGAAGCTGCATGATGTCCTGTAGAATGAAACAGGAGTCAGGACCCAGAGTGGGCAGAGGCGGTGCCAGGGCCCCTCTGGTTCCTACAGAGTAAACCCTCGCCTGAGTTCTCCATGTCCGTGGGGCTGAAGTCAAAAGCCACCTGTCCCAAGTCTGAGAGGGCACTCATGACCACAGGCCCTATCCCTTTTTTTCTGACCCTCGTGTGGCCTTGGCTGGGTCCTACGCCTCTCTGGGCCTTAGTTTCCCTGCATGACATTGGGGGTGGGGAGGTTGAGCTGGATAGTATCCAGGGACCCGCCATCTCTGACAACCCGTCCTCTGAGTGACAGTTCCAATACCAGGCTCTTATCTGCCAGGACAAATATTTGGGAAAGTGTGATGAAAGGCCTGGAGGAGAAGGAGGGGGGAAGCCAGAACCCAGAGAACTCCCACAGCTCCACAAGCACAACAGGAAATGGAGGCGGCTGTGGGAAGGGAAGCGGGGGAGTCAGGGCTGTGGAATGTGGGGGGTGGGCCTGGCCCCCTCTACTCAGCCCGCAGCAGCAGCACAGGGAGGCCCAGGGGAGAAGGGCCAGGGGCCAGCCCCAGAAGAGGCCCCATGGAAATTAGCAGGCTTCGAAGGTGTTTGCAGACCCCTGAAGCCAAGCTCCCCACCTCCACATCCGGTGTCCAAATGGGGAAACCAAGGCTCTGAGAAGGAAAGAAGTTTGCCCAAGATTCCACAGAAGGTCCTGTCCAAGAGGGAGACAGAGAGCTGGAAGAAACAGAGAGACAAAGACATGGGAGAGAGAGCAGGAGATGCAGAGGAACAGCCTGCACTAGAGCCTGGGGACAGAAGCTAGGCCCAGAGAGACAACTGAGGTTGGGTGGAACTTTCTCGGTCCCTTCCTTTAGCAGCCTGTCATACCTTGGATTCCAAATAGTCACCAATAGCCAGGTAAGCATGCTTCTGTCTGCAGCCTCGACAGGAAGTAGGCCAGAGGTAGATGGGAGTCACAGAGCAAGAAATGTGGGAAGGGACCATGTGATAAAGCAACAAGGCGCCTCCTGATGCTGTGAGGCTGCAGACTTACTTTCTGAGTGGCTGCCCGCTCTGGCCACGCCCAACCTGCCCCCACCTCACCATCTCAGGCTTTCTAGTTTCCAGTCCAGAGCTGGGGAGAAGGGTTTGAGCCCCCCTCAGCACTGCCCCTTGAGCCATGGCTATCTCTTTGGGCTCTCAAAGTGGAATGAAGGCAAGTGTACCACCTACCAGTGCTGCAGGCACAGTTTAAGGGAGATACAGAGACCACGGCCTCAGCTGTGGACCCCAGTCTCAATTTTCCCAAGAGCAAATCAGTGTTTCTCCTCCTCTTCCCCTCCCTTCAGAGAAGCTTGCCTGAGTCCCCTCTTGTCTTCCTCTCCCCTCTCTAAATTGCTCCAGGTCAAAGCCCAGCCCTCCTGATATCCCTCTGCAGCGCCCCCATGCCCACCCCTCCTGTGCCAGCCCTTCAGCTGGACACCAGGCCTCTTTGGGCAGGAAAGAGCAGTGCCCAGGCAGAGCAACAGCCCCCACAGGGGCCCATCTGCCCCTCAGGGGTACCCCCTGGTTCCCCCTTCCTGCCAGAGATCTGGGCCAAAGAAAATCATTAGCAGCCCAGGTTGGGGGAGGGGGTCATCTCAGCCTCCCTGCCCCTCCTCTCCCAGCCTCCCTGGCTGGCCACACTGTTTATTATTCTAAAGGAGGAATTTGGCCGGTTGGCCAGGAGATGGGAGGTCACTGAAAGGGGGCTGGCCTGGCTCTAGAAGGCTGGGTTGGCCGTGTGGGCTGGGACCTCATGGCATGCAGCCCCTGACTCTGCTCTGATATGGCACTCTCTTCTCTCCCCTCAGGCCCTCTCCTGCTGGGCCTGGGGCTAGGCGTGGCTTAGAGTCTCTGAGACTAAGCTAGGAGAGACTCTTCTTGAATAGGCAGCAGAGGCCCAGAGAGGCACAGAATCATGACCTAGTCACAGAGCAAAAAGAGGATCCAGGCTGTGGGAAGAGGATAGGGAGGAAGAGATGAGCTCAGGGAAAGCGGAGATGCTTTGGGAGAATGTAGACACTTCAGGAGTCGTGGACTGGTTGGACTCTATGAAAGGAGCATTTTGGCTCACCTCACAAGATTTGAAACTTCTGTAAGACTGAGCTGGCCCCCAGCCTTCTCTGGGATGTTTCCCTGTTTGTACACGGAGAAGTTTGGATACATCAGCTCAAAGAGCTGTCCCTATTTTAAGCCTTGCCTTTTTGACTGGTCAAAGAGAAGGTTCTGGTCACCATTATTCTCAAGAAAGTGGGGCTGGTCAGAAGGGAGGGCTACACTCCTAAGGACAGAGTCACATGAGAATCGATAAACCCATCTCACTCCGTGCATCAGATGACTCTGACCATTTGGTCACTGACTTGCTGTGTGGACTTTGACAAGTTGTTTCCTTCTCTGGGCCTCAGTGTTCCCATCTATACAATTAGGATTTACACACAGTCTTTCAGTGGACTTCTAGCCAGATGAATTGGGGATATGGAACCTTGCAGTGGCCTGAGGAAAGACACAGGGGCAGCGAGCTAGAGATCCAGGATGCACCAGAATGGGGATCAGGGTATCCAGACATGACCGTGGGCCATTGGAATGATTCTGGACTCTGCCAGTTGTCCACTCAATGCCTGTGGACCATTTGTGCTTTCCAGAGGCTGCTGTGGTCTTAGGACAGGCAGCTGACTTGGGGTGGCATTTTGCCTATGACAACTTCCCTTCAGAGAAAGGGGCTCTGCTCCAGGTAAGAGCCACATAGGACATTTTCAGTCCAGCCTTCCCTCCTACAAACACTAGAACAGCACAGCCATCGCCATCGGGAGCGGGCACCCAGCAGCACCACCACCACCTACCACACTGTCCTGCTGGGAGTTCCCTGGAGCAGAAAGGGGCAGGGTCCTTAAGCAAACACTGTGCCCAGAGAGATGTGCTGTGCGCCAGGAAGCCCTAAGGATTCCTCTATGCAAGGTTGGAGAGACACAGGTCCAAAGATAGGGTCACCGCCCAGCTCCTCAGTGAAATAGAGGTCCCTTAGGGGAATGGACTGAGGGTCCCAAGTCCAGGACATCACGTTCAGGGAATCAGTGGCAGCCCCAGCCTTCCCTCCTCCAAGCGCACACAACTCCCCACCCCTTTCCCACCGCCTTAATCTAAATAAATCCAGTCCATCTTGGCCACATCCGCCAGCAGCGGCTTCCCTCCCTCGGGGTCCTGAGGCTCCCACGACATAAGCAGGCAGGGGAGGGGGCCCCACACGGGGTGAGCACATGCACAGAGCACAGATGGCTGCCTACGCACTTGCTCACACGCTCCTAAAACACATGCAGGCGCTCACCATGTGCATGCCCGTACAAAACACATGTCACAGGGTTCCTACCACAGCACTGACTGCTGCCTGTGTGCTCTCCAACATGCCCACTGGAGATGCACCATGCCTAACAGATCACCCATGTACCCAGCATACGTGACAGTGCAGAACTACGTGCACGTGGGTCCCAAGCACCCCTGAAATCACATCCATACAGATAAGCCAGAAAGCCCCGGATGTTGTGCAGTGCTGAGCCCTTGACATATATAGACTCATTTAATCCTCAGTCAACTCTGAGATAGAGACAGTGATCATTTCCATGTTAAAGGTGAAGAAACTGAGGCAGAGAAAAACCTTAGAAATTTGTCTAGGAATCCAGACCCAAGGAGGGTAGAGCGAAAATGGAACTGAGTCTCCGTGCTCCATGCCACGCCACCGTGCTGCTTCTGTGATCACGGCGCTTGTCTGGTTGGGGCTGGGTAGAGAGTGGGTGGGCACTGGTGGGAACAGATGGAGTGGGGAGGGATTTCGCTGAGAATCAGCAGGACTTTGGTTGATGTTGTGGAGCTGGAGAGAGAAGTTCCTGAGGGGAGCCTGCATCCCTGTTTCTGGTTTGAAATACTCGGGGACAGGAGTGTGTGTGTGTGTGTGTGTGCTGGGGAGATGATGCCATTTTCTGAGACGAGAATGAGACCAAAGAGCAGGATTGAGAGTTGTCACTGAGCTGGTTGAGAATGTGGAGGATCCTGTCGGCACTGGGTGGACAGAGGAACGCTCAGCCTGAAGGCAGAGATCAGACCAAGAGAAAGCCCGGCTGCAGGGGAGGGGGCGCTTGCTTGGGGCAGGCAGACTCAGGCCAGGGATGCTCTGAATAAGCAAGATGCCCGAGGGAGGAGGAGGCCTGGCCATGGGTCATGGTGTCAGAGTCTTGGAATGTCAGGACTCCACAGCTCTCAGAGATCATCTATCTGATCCAAACCCCTTCCCGGGCCCTGTTGTCCTGCTGGAGATACTGAGGCTAGTGGATCAAGGACCTGGGGTCAGACTCTGGCTGCTGCCCTTCCCTCTGAGTAGTACTATTACTCAGGAGTGTCCCCGCAGCATCCCAGCCAGACAGAGATTGGTGACAGAGACTCAGAGAAGGTTGCCAGCTAAGTTTCCAGTAGAAGTAGGACACTGATTCCAGTCTCCTGACCAGGAGCCTTGTCCTCTCTCCTCCACACCACTTCACAGCCCCCAGGACAAACTACAGGGTGGGAGTATGGGAACCTGGGTTCTTGTCCCAGTTCTGTTGTCACCTGTGCTACAGTCCTGCCCCTCCCTGGGCCTCAGTTTCCCCATCTGTACAGCTTTGGGGGCTGACTCTTGCAACTCTAAGGACCCCGCTCTGGAAGGCAGCTGTGTGCAGTGGGGAGGAGGAGGGGATGCTGGGGAGGGGCCCCAGCCGGGATGTCATGACTCAGCTCAGAGAAGGCAGCCAGTCTTAGGCCTGGGAGCGTATGGGGGCAAGAGGCATCCAGAGCCAGGGAGTGAGTCCTCTGCCAGCAGCTGAAGAAGACGAGGGTGACAGCAGCACAGCCTGGACTTGGCAGAAAGTCTGGCCCATGTGGCCTTCCCCAAAGGGCTGAGATGTGGGTGTGTTCTTGCAGTATG